TGTTTTTACTGTTTAAAGCCCATTCTGTGTGCATCTTGCTGTAAAGCTGGTGACAAATTGATGAGTGCGTTTGTCATTTGTTTTGATTGACTGATTTGGTGCAGTGATGCATGGAGGGTCTCAGCTGCCATTGGGATGTGCGGGATCCATTGTGCGTTCCTGTGCCTTTAAGGGAGGTTGGGCTTCCTCCTGACAAACCTGCACCCAATTTTATCTTCTGCCCCATGTGCTCCAACATGGAGACTCTCATAGTTTAGAGTTAGGACCGCACTATAAGAGGTGCCTTGGCGCGGCTTTCACATTTTCTGCAGAAGACGTGTATCCAAACCTGTTTTTAACCTTAGTAGTGAGACAAGTTTTTTTTTACATGCTAGCTTGTGAGTGTGCCAGGAAAACTTTTTGCTGTTTTACTGTTTAAAGCCCATTCCCTATGCACCTTGCTGTAAATCTGGTGACGAATTGATGAGTGCGTTTGTCATTTGTTTTGCTTGACCACAGGTCAGGCGCAAGACTTTGCCCAATAAGGGCTCAGTACTCATTAAGAGCCACGATTGAGCAACGTCCTGATGACTTTGCCCAATCATGGCTCACCTGTTAGATGACTTAAAACTACACAGTTGGGTGGAGCTAGCTGTCACCGCTAGCTACGCTCAATTGTTTATGTTTTGCCGACATCTGTCAAAATTCCATTATGCGGCGGGTGTTCATTGCGAGTGGACGGGACGGTGGTCCGCGCTTTTAAAAAAAAATTATTATTATTTATTGTTTTATTTTGTCAAGTCGCCGTGGACAATGCTGGACATCGTTATTGGCCCTAGATTACATCGGTGGATCACATTTTTGGGTTTGATTTTTTTTAAAATAAAAGACTTTAAAGGGGTACCCTGATGTGAATAAGCCCCATTGCCTGCAGACCCCTAGAGCCAACACCTCAGGGCTTGTGGGGAAGAGGCCCTTGTCCACATCTGAAAGGGGAGACCCTGGAAAAGCACCCTCCCAGTGCCGAGGGCATGTGACCTGGTTTGGGAGGGAGGGGTGCTCGCTCTTCCCCACCTTTCCGGCCCTGCCAGGCCTATGCTCGGATCAAGGGTCTGGTATGGAATTTTAGGGTGGCCATCATGTTTTTTTTCCTCCCATGTTTGGGGGTGGGGTTCCTCCTTAAAATTACTACAAGATCTTAAGGGCCTGGTATGACTTTAAGGAGGGACGCCACACATAACTTGCATATAAGCCTTCAAAATGGGGACAATTGTTTCTGAAAGTTCTACCCCATTGACTTGCATTGAGTTCTAATTTGAACTTTTCCCACGTTCGAAAAATCGAATTTGAACTGAACTCTGGCCTCTTTCGGCCCATCACTAGTTATGATAAATACATTCCTGATTGATAGTTTCACCTTTTAAGTTGCATTAGTGAAATAAATGAACTTTGCACGATATTCTAATTATTCGAGTTTCACCTGTACATCCAGCCCTAGGTGCAAACTCTTCAGAGTGCATGAGCAGCATAGATTGCAGACAGAGTATAGCAGGTCTGTGGGAGGAGCCGGGCTTAGCAGGAACTAGAGGGAGAACTTTCACCTCTCACTTCCTGTTCCTGGTGCAGCATTGATGAGAGCTCTCTCTCGATTTTCACAATCCTACATTCTCCTGGATCAAAGGTAACAATGTCTTATCACATAACATTAGAATGGTGGAAGTAAGGTGAATGATTTAAGTTTGATGAATATTTGCTTATTATCCTGCTCAGTAGTTCTCATTCTGTATTCATTCACCTCCCTATCACCATGCAGCATGCGCTATGTGCACACAGGTCTGTGTCTATTACTCCCCTATCACACCCAGTCACCAAGCAGCATGTGCTCTGTGCACACAGGTCTAGAAGTGTCTGTGGCTCCCCTACCACACCTGCTGTGTGTGGCTTGGTTACCGGGACACAGCAGCCAGTACATAAGCCGCACGCAGCAGGTTGCTGTGAGCAGCTTGTGTACACACCGGCTGCTGTGTGAGTGTGCAGCCAGTCTACCAATAGCTGTGATATTGCCCACATCTAACAGCCAATCATATGGTTCATGCTTTGTCACATGATCGGGTTGATGATGTCAGTTCTCTTCTGGGTTGCTGACACTGCCGAGTTCCGACTACAGAGTCGGCTGCAAAGTAGCAAGGAGCTGTATGAAAGATAAGAGCACAAGGGAGTCCAAGGACACAGCAGCCTGCTGTGTGCAGCTTTTGTACCAGTTGCTGTCCTGAAGATACAGACCAGACATGTGATGTGGGTGGCAGCTGAAACACAAGGAGTTTCCTTCCAGGGCCAGGCTGAGGTGAATGGGGGAAGATGTCTGTGCTTAAGAGGATCCAGGTGAGTGCAGCTAAGGCACCTGCAGAGGACATGCAAAGCTCAATACATATGGGTTATGTACTATTCCTGCTGCTGTGTTCACACCCCCTCCCGCCACAGAATGCAGGGAGAGTCTGATTAAGCAATCCAGTGGGTTCATGCCACATGACTAAGAGATGAACGCACTGGATGGGGTGAATAGGCCCATAGTCATAAAGTAATGATTGTGTGTTTATATAATGTTTCAGGTGCTCAATATTGTGTAGAAATATTGTAATGGAACTGTACTGCATTCTTTACTCTCATGCTCTGCGTTCCTTATTACCGCGCTCTGCGTTCTTTACTCCTGTGCTCTGCGTTATCTACTACTGAGTACTAAAACACTGACCGGTCTATTTACTAAAGGGTGAACTGGTAGAATTGCAGAATTTTTAAATCTAGACCAATAAAGACGATTTTGAAAGTGAGCTAAATGGGAGATTTGTTTTCTGATTCTGCTTTTTTGAACTAGATTATTAAGTTCCCTTGTCGGTCCAAGCTTGCTTCTGTGATGGACTACAACCTCAATACAAACTAGTAGTCCCATCACTGGAGCCATTTTTTAAACTTTATTTTATAGTTTATCCGATTAATCGAACTTAATAATCGGCTAACTAATCGATTTTGAAAATAATCGTTAGCTGCAGCTCTAGTCAATTCCCCTGTCAATTCTCCTGAAATTCACCCAGGATAATTGGCAAAATTGAAGAATTTTGGTCAAAATAGCCAAACCAGAAACCATTCTGCCATTTATCTAATTTTCCAAATCTCCTATATAGGTCTAGAAATTCTCCTACCAATTTATCTTTTAGTGAATAGACCTGCTAATTTTAAAATAGTGTGGAGAAATGATTTCTGTAACACAAGAATGTATATGTGGGTGGCGCTTGTATATGGGCCAGGCACTAGGGCGCCCCATAATCTCGTTGCCCGGGGACTCCATGTGTTGTCAGTCCGCCCCTGTGTATATGGCTCCCCTACCACACCCAGTCACCATGCGCTCTGTGCACACAGTGTTGTAAGTTTATATGGCTCTCCTATCACACCCAGTCACCATGAGGTAGGAGTCCTGCACTCAGTGCTACAAATATTTTATGTCTCCCATTTGTATATATTATTGTCTGCCCAACTACCCAGTAATCACAGTGAAGTTCTGTTAGTCTAGTGATTCCAACTCCCTCAGTGCTAGTACAGTGGTGTGAACATTTTTTAATAAACCACTTGCCCAAGGGCTAATGCGGGGGCCTGATCTACTTGTCCCGATACAAAAAATAGTTTCACTCAAAACCGTAATTAACCGTGCTAAGAAGTGCTTCTCATTGGTCAGCGTGGCCACCTTACCAATGAGTGCTTGCAATTTACAAGTGAAATTCAAAATGCATAGCAAATGGATTTCCCCCCTTAATGGCGGAGGGAAAGGACTGTTCGCCGAAAGTTAAGTAGGGGGGGCTGGAGAGACGGGGGTAGATGTGAGCAGGTAGTTCCATTTTCCCAAATGACCGGAAAGTGAACGCAAATAAAAAGGTTGCGATTGGCATCAGTGAGTATTAGAGAAAAACTCATATACTCGTTCTTGAAAAAATGGTATCAGTGCATCCCTAATTCTTTGTTTAATTTACACAGTTGCATCTGTTACAGGGCTTTTTGTTCACAAGGAAAATCTAATATTTTTAATACTTTCCATTTACTATTTAAAGCTGCTACTTTGGCAAAGTTTCCTGGGACTTCATAAAAGTATCATACAGTAAGTGATGCTGTTAACAGAAAAATTGCAGAGTTGAAATATCGCCTGAAGGAAACATCAGTCAAGACTTCAGCAGAATCACAAAACTAAAAAATGTTATAATGTCACTTACCACAGTTTAAAAAATGTTTTATCATCTGTGTTTAACACTTTTTATTTTCTTAGTGTATTTTTCATAACAATAAAGGTTAACAGCCCCTATGTGATGGCATTTGGAAGTGACAGGTTCTCTTTATTGAACCTGTCACCTCCAATACAGGAGTTTGAGCACAGTACTGTGCTGTCACATGGAGCAGAGCGGAGAACAGACATTCTCCGCTCCCCATCCTGAACTACCTTGCCACGGTCCCGGGTTCCCCAGAAGAGCGAGGGACCCCGAAAACCACGGCAGGGAGGGAGATGGCCAGCTAGGACAGATGCAGTCGAAGGTGGGGGCGGCGGCATGGGGGACCTGTCGGCTGATTACAAGTGATCTCGGCAGCATCTCTGGGAAAACTTGTACAAGAACGAGCGACAGCTTCCCCATGCTACATTTATCTCTGCTGGCCGAAAGCAGTGCTAAATGGAGCGGAAAAAAACTACCCGCCTTGCGGCTATGCCGCCCCTCTACTCCCTGCCACCCTGAGGCCAGGCTTCGATGACCTTGTGGGAAATACCACTCTGTTTGCATTACCTGTGTGCAACCACGTGTCAATAAAGTAGTAGCAAGTCAGGATTCTGCACTTAATTTTTCTACGCTAAATCTTATTATAAGTTTCATTGATAGTTGTCCCAACGTCTATAAAAATACTACATTATGCCATTTCAGATAAAAACACACACACTTAAAGTAGTAAGCACAAAAATACCATATAATTACAAGATTTGTTCAACTTACCTGGGCCTTTCCCAAAAGATTCCAGCTTTCGTAGTTTAGAGATTTCATCTTCTGTAATAATTGTCATATCTCTCCAAAAATCCACATTTTTTCCCTGTTCCAGCTCCATGTAGATCTGGAAAGCAATGATAGGGAGGGGCAGTTATAGGTTACTTTGCAAAAAAAATAAAAAATTCCACCAAGAAGAGTACTTACTTGGATATCTTCCAGTAAATCTTCAAGATCAGACACAGTAAGTCCAGTCAAGAAAGTGTATGGCTCATGCATCTCAACAGCTAAGTCATCATCCTCTGCACTTACGTATTTTGCCAGAAGATCAATAGGCTTAGCACGGCCATCCCTAATGCGTATTTTGGATCTATGGTATTGTTGTGGGG